TCTATTCATTTGGTGGAAATACTGGGGATTTGAAAGAAAAGAGAGGGGGACACTTGTGTCACTTCCTTGTTCCTCTGATCAAAAGTTTGGTGAAAAAAATAGATGAACCAAGTGCAGAAAGCAGCCTATGGTTCACTGGGGCTGACCCGAAGTTTCCAGTTGTGTTCCAGTTTTAGGGACCGTTTTGTTAAGTCATGGTGACCTTTGGTTCTCTTAGAAGTCATTGAGTAATGGTGCTACAGGGCATCGGCTTTAGAATGCCATCCTTTTGGAGCAAAGATATGTGTTATCCTTAATGAATGTTGCTTGTAGATAGCTTGATAAGGTTGAAAGTGCAATCCTGTAACTGTTCCTGAGTGCTTGGGTATATTAGCACTTATCTTTGTTTCTCTGTCAATCAGTTCTGTTTCTTAAGCTTAGGATCCCAACATCCCAATAAGATGTGAGGTCCTTTAAGTATATGAGTCATTCCCCTCGAGCCAGCATGGGAAGGCTGGCACCGCTAGTTAGTTTTATGTACAAATGAGTACAATATGTACAAATTGAGTGGTAGGGAAAAGAAGCTGATTTTAAGTAAGTAAAGTGTACTCTGTTTTTTAACAGGTCTGATTTGTGTCAGATTGTTTTCAGTGGAGCCCATTTCAGATTGTCAGCTCAGTATATTATAGATGGTAAAACTCATCCTAGTGATTGCTGGTAGTACTTGTCAGCCCTGAGAGGTCTGGGCGTCTTAGCATCTTGGCTCTATTTTTCCCCATGGAGATTGTCTTTGCCTTGCTTCATATATGATTTCCCTTTTGAATTTATTCACGAAAGAAATAAGAAGAGGAGGAGCTTGAAAAAGGCCATCTACATTCCAGGCCAAAGTGAGTGAAGGTGGAAGGCCAGTTGATCGCTAGCACTGGTTTGTGTGGGGCCAAGGACATAGGACGTTGAAGCAGTTTAATAAACCATCTCCTTGACTCTGAGTCAGGAGCCGCTTTCAGGTCCTGGTGGGTTTGTTAAACCTGAGGTGTATTGAGCATGGACTATAGGTAAATTCAGGCTTAATGTATGATACTTTTCTGAATTGATGGGGGTGCAGGAATTTGTTGGTATTTGCTCAGTCGATAGACATATGAATTGTTTTTGTTTTGTTGTAATTTTTTTTTATTAATTTGTTTTGATTTATCAACAATCACTTCCATATGCTTTTCAGTTGAAAAATTCCCCCCCCTTCCTCCCCCTCACCTTCCCCAAGACAGCACACAATCTGATATAGGCTTTACATTTACATTCCTATTAAACATATTTTCACATTAGTGAAGTTGTAAGTAAAAATTAAAACCAGTAGGAGGAACCATCAGAAAGATGACACAAAACTCAACAGAAGGTAAGAATAAGTGATAGCTATTCAACTTCCATAATTCCTTCTTTGGATGTGGATAGCATTTTCCATCCCAAGGCCTCTGGAGATGTCTTAGATCCTTGTAATGCTGAGAAGGGTTCACTTTAACAATATTAGTCATCGCGTAACGTGGCTGTTATTGTGTACAAGGTCCTCTTGGTTCTGCTCACTTCACTCAGCATCAGACCATATAGGTCTTTACAGGTTTTTCTGAAGTCTGCCTGTTCATCATTTCTTATAGCACAATGGTATTCCATTACATTCATACACCACAACTTGCTCAGCCATTCCCCAATTTTTTTTTCTTAAGCGGTGAGGTAGAAATATGATAATACTTCATTTATTTGGCCTCATGAGGAAATATGGTGTTCTAGCTAGGTGAATTTTCCAGTTAACCTTACCAATTAAAATGCTGAAACTTTTGTTTTGATGAAAAATTTTCTAAAATATTTTGTACCCTTCCCTGCCTTCTTTAAACAGGCTCTACTAAACATAGCTTAATCTTTTTGTTGGTGATTTTTTCATTATGAACATTGTCTTTAGAAGGTCTCATACTTTGAAGACTATTTGCCCCTATGCTAAATGACCAAATATTTCTTTGATGTTATAGTTCTTGTGTCTGTTATGTTATTTTCCCGTGTTCTTCCTTTCTCCCTGCTGTCAGTGCCCTCTGTTAGCAGTCCGACCTCTCTGATTGGATGAAGAGAATGTGCTCTGAGTTGTGAAACCAGCTCACTAAGCTTGTGAGAACATTTGTCCCTTACCCATCTTGTGGGGAACGTTGGTAGTAAAATGCTTTTCTCTTTGTAGGTGGGCCAATAAATGTCTGAAATGCACTGAAAGCATACATTCGGTGGCATCTGCACTGGCCTCAGCTATGAGGAGTACTCATATCCCTTCACCTCTTTTAGAACCTCACTTTACTCACTGATAAATGAGGATAAGAATAACTATCTTGGTCATCTACAGTTCTGTTGTTGAGGTCGTATGAGGCCATGTAAGACAGATTGCTTTCAAAGCTAATGAACTTTATGATTATAATAATAATAATAATAATAATAACTATAATTATTATTATTATTATTTTGTGGCTACTCAAAGGTCCTTTTCACTTATTCCAGGTTCTTGGCTGTGTTCTAGTTAATAATGGCTCACATTTTTGTAGAACTTTACAATTGTCGAAGCACTTTCCTCACAATAGCCTTATGAACTGAATAGAACAGCTCTTATTTCCTTTTTACAGATGAGGAAACAGATTTAGAAATGGCTTGCTTAAGGTCACATAATTAGTTGCCTGAGGCAGAACTTAATCCTAGGTCCTCTGACTGAGTCCAGTACTAAAATGGTTTTATGTGCAGTAAGTGAGTGAAGTAAGCGAGCCCTTCATATGTCTTGGCCATCCCCTCCCTCCCACCCCCCTCCCCCATCCATTTTTTCTTCTACCATGATTTGATCATTTCTGGCTTTTGTAATCTAAACCTGCAGTCTTATGCAAAAAAAGAAAGTGCTGTTCTTTGTATATGAATATAATAAACTTTGGCCTACCATCAGCAAGGGCATGTGCTTCACAACAGGGTTTGAGGGAAAGGGCGCTGAACTTGGAGGCAGATGATTTGGATTTGAGGCCTGTTTTGGTCACTTACTAGCTGTTTGCTTATTGGTCAGTCACTTAACCTCTCTGAGATGGTTTTCTCATTTGTAAAATGGATGTAATATTATAACTAATAGCTGTTATGGATAAATGCAAGATGCCATCATTACTGCATTATTTTCACAGTGGTTGGGGTAGGTAGTACAGAGTCATCTGTACTCTTATCCTTTGTAACCAATAGAACATGTTTATAATGTGAAGGGGGAGACCGAAGTCTTTGGCCGTGGGTCTGAGTTAAGCTGACTTGCCATTAGGGAAGTTAAATCCATGGCTCAGCCCTCAGAACGTTTCTGTAACCTACACAGCTAATTGATCACAAGGTAAACCTGCCAGACAGCCATAGTTTAGCAATTCTTTCAAGCTCTATAACCCAGTCCATTTCTTTTTTCCTAGTCTTTACTCTAAAATACAAATGTGGAATCAGCTTGGTATTGGGCAGTCTTGGATGAGGAAACTCCCTTTACCATCTCAGGTCTGCTCCTTCTCTAAAATTCACTGTTGACTAGAGCACTGAGAAGTTAAGGTACTTCTGTCAGATGTGTCAGAGTCACTGGGGGTAGGTGACAGATTGGCCAATTGAGTGCAGGCCTCAGCTTCATTTATTTTTTATTCATGTTCCTTTTTATAGCAAATCTTAAATTCTGTCTCGGGCCAGTAGTCCCTAGACAGAGAAGCAATATCACTGCCAAACTCAAAAGGGCATCATGAAAAGAGAAAACAGGCTGCTCTCAAATATAGTCGACTTAGATGAGAAGCTCTTTTTAATTTTTTCCTATTCTTGTCTCTTGACGATACAAAACATGTAGGTGTTTAAAGCACTTGATTTCTTTTTTTAATTTCCTAGAGATTTTCCCAATTGCAGAATGGAATGATAGTGATAATTCTGAGTCTGTACTACCAAGCCTATGGAGAAAAGCACTTTGGAGTTAGAAGACCTAGGTTCATGTTTAGCCTGTGATACCTATATTACCATAAGTAACTCAGAGGTGACCTCTGAGCCTTAGGTTTTCCCATTTGTATATAGTGGAGAAAATAACACCTTCTGCTCACAAGTTTGTTGAGGCATTCTTCATCTTTGTACATTGTTAAGTGCTAGGTAAATGAATTATTATTATTACTGTTATTGCTATTGCTGTTGCTGCTGCTGCTACTACTACAACTACAGCTGCTGCTGCTGTGATTGCCAGCACCACCACCACCACCACCACCATTGCTACCAAATGCCAGTACCAGTTTACTAGGGATAGTGTGAAGATTGCTGAATAGTTTAAATGTTTTATAGGAAGACAAAATATTTATGATTATTCAATGTAAAGATGTTGCACGTCCACTGGGTCACATTAAGGCAGACAGCCACTGCTTGTTATTGCCCAGGTTCCCTGGCTACAACCTTTGATTTCTTTTATTATTGACCTAGTAATTGGTACAGAAATTGACCTGATCAGTCATAGCCTTTATTGGTCTTCCTCTGCCTTTTGTATATTGGAAACGGATTTTCAAGATCTAATACTGTAGATTGATTTATTGTTTGTCCTATCCTTGGCTAAAATTTTTAGACATCTCCCTAAGTTGTCTGGAATGCAGTCTTGAAAGTCTAGAAACTCTTGAAACTTTATGGTAGAAATGTATTTATTTTTATATTTATACTGAGGCAACAATGACCCTCAGTCATAGATCTTGTAGATCATAGGTCACAAATTTAGGGCTGAAGGGACCTAAGAGGTCATTTGTGTAATCCATGCATAGGACAGATAAGGAAACAGGCCGTGGGAAGTGAAGGGGCTTTCCCAAGGTCCTACAGGTAGTTTAGTAGTAAGGTTTTGAATCTAGGTCTTTGGACTCTGAATCTAGTGCTCTTTCCACTGCACCACACTGCCTTCTGGGTTAGGACATATTGGGTAACTTGCTAGAAAGTTCAGTCCTCTGTTTTCATTCGTCTAACCTTGTGTTTTCTTTCTCTAGGAGCCCAGATCATTGATCTGATGATGCTAGTTATTGATGTGACCAAAGGGATGCAGACTCAGTCAGCAGAATGCTTGGTGATTGGGCAAATTGCTTGTCAGAAGCTGATTGTGGTACTGAACAAGATAGACCTCCTAGCAGAAGAGAAGAGACAGGCTGCCATTGACAAGATGACCAAGAAAATGCAGAAGACTCTAGAGAACACAAAGTAGGTTTGCCAAGAGTAGACTAATCATCATTCATATAATAATAGTTAAGTAATTATTATTAAATAATTAATCCCATTCATGGGACTGACCAGGCATATAACCTCATACAGGATGCTGCCAGAGTGTGTGTATGTGTGTGTGTGTGTAAGCACGGAAGACTCTAATGACTGGTGTTAGAGCTCTCTCAGTATATGGTTTGCACCAGAATTTTGCCTTTCATTTCTTAGAGTTTCTAAAAAACTAAAGCTAAAATTTTATAGACTTCCTGTGTTAGATGCTGCCACATTTTGAATTTGAATTTAGTTCAAAGGTTCAGTGTGGCATAGTAGAAGGAACACAGGCGAAGGAGACATGGTTCCAGTTTGCTAAGTTGTTGCCCAGGGCTGCACTGAAATGGTCAATAACAGTCTCACTGGGAAAAAATGTATACCCAACCCAGTTTTAAGTTTGATCTGCATCATTAGCATTTTACCCATCATGTAAGTCTAGACAGTCCACAAAACAGTAAGTCAAGACCTGGTTTTGTGGAGTTTGCCCATTTCCGAAGTGTAAATGCCCACCTTGAAAATGTAACAGTCAGCTTGCAGGTTTGCTGTAGCTCTGCAGACTCCAGCACACCCTTTGTGGTGACTGTAGGCAGGGTCACCAGCCCTCTCTGGAATTCTCATTTTGTTTTTGTTAAAGGCACTCAGACTGTATGATCTCTAGGTGCCTTTAGCTCTAAAATACATTTTCTGTGCTAAGCGGTTCCTTCTTTAAGAGAGCCAAAAGCTGATTGGAGATTTTTTCCGACAGTTAAGAGCAGAAGGGGTTGGTTAAAATGGAAGATGGGAAAAGAGAGATTTTATACAGTTCAAAAAAATTGGAATACTCAGTAGTGAGAGATTAGACTATTAAAGGTGATGGAACTCCCATAGTAGGAACAGGATGTAAAGCCACCTCATTGAACAAGTTACATCAGAACATCAGAAATGCCTTGTTCTGATGTTGTCAGGACTGTTGCCCTTGTTCAGATGCATAGTGTCGGAAAACCTTCATTGTTTTATCATTTTCTGTGATCGTTTTTGGACCAGTCCCTTTTGATCAGTACTAAGTAGTGGTCACAGAGAGGTAGCGAGGTATTCTCTTTCTCTGTGCGGCATCAAGATAATATCCTGCCACTTCTGCTTCTCCTTCGAACCTGTGTGTGGAGGGCAAACAAGTAGAAAGTGTTTTTGTTTCTCCTGTCATAAAGATTGATATGCCTTCCCATTGGTGATTTTTTTTCAGAGCCAACACCTGCAGCTCTGTCTGAGAATCCTCAAGTTGGTTAAATTAACACTCTGGCTCTGTGATTGCTCCAGATGTGTCATAAAAGATTTCCTAGCCCTGTCTTTTGTTAGCAAAATTCATCAATCTGATAAAATCGACACATTTAGATAAATGTTGCATAAGAATTCAGACTTTGTTATTCCCAACGGAAGTGGATATGAGACTGTAAAAATGGAGATAAAAAATTATATCTTCCCTTTAGTGAGTTATTTGATCTCCCTGCAGTTTTATTTACTTGTCAGAAAGGGGTGGAACAGGCCCTTTCAACTAATACTTAAAAATCACAATATAGCTTCAGTGTCACATCCTATAAATGGGGCAAGGAAATGGGATGTGTGAGGTGGTGTGTGAGTAGGCAGTAGATTAATTTAATAAGTTAATTTAAAAAAATGTAAGCAAATTTTCCTCCCATGTTAATAATTATTTACTTTTTTTCTCATTCAGAATCACTTATGCTCTTTAAATTTGGGGATGGTGGTACACAGATCGAATCTTATAACTGAGCATAAACGTAGGAGAAATTGACCTTTTGAATCACCTGACAGCCTAGTTCTGTGTCTAAAGCCTTTTTCTTCCCCCACTGAGAAACCTAGTAAGAGGAGAAAAATCTCATTGTACATCAGTCTCTGTGAGAACTTAGACAATGAAATGATATATCAACTAATGGAACCTTTTTGCTTGTAAAGAATTACCTGAAATGTTAATTGTTTTCATGCTGTTATCCTGTTCTTATCCTTTAAAATACTCTAAATAATTCTTTTCTTTTCTGATGTAATCCTCATTTAAGTCCTTTTATAAATTGTTGTCTGCATATCAGGAAATGTATGGGTAGTGGAGGCGTGCCTCCCCCCCCCCCCCACTTCCCCTCCCCATCCCAGACATACACTGGCTGATAAAAAGCTGCAAAATGGCAAAGACTAAAAGCCCTTCTTTTCTCTAAGCCCTTCCACTTGTTTGGATGTTTCCTCTCTCAGTGCCCCTCAGCACCCCCTGTTTGGAAAGTCTTCTTTCTTTTTCCATTCTCTTCCACCCCAGGCCTACTCCTTGTGGTGGCCTTGAGACACCTGGCCCTTTCACACACGTATTCCTCTCTGCATTTCCGCCCCCCTCCCCCTCTTCTGCCAGGTTGTAACCCCTTGTGTAACCCAGCTGCAATCTTACCAGCTCTGTTATGGCTTCCATGATTAATCCTGTTTCACATTGATCACTCTTTTAATTTGTGTTACTTCCAAGTCCCGACAATCTTACTGATAACTGACATCCTTTCTCCCCATCCTGCTACCCTTATTCCAGCCCTTATTAATCAATCAGTTAGTCAACATTTGTTAAGTACCTATTATGTTCCAGTCACTGTACTAAGCTCCTCCTCACCTGGACCCTTGCAATAATAGACCCAGTCAGTGAACAGATATGTGAGCACATTGGGCTCTGCCTCCATTTTCTGTTCTCTCCGTTCTCCTTAGGCCTCTACACAGCTGAAAAGTTCATACTCAGAAGGCTCAGGTCTGTCATCTTCCTCTCCTGCTCTGAAATTTCCAGGGGCACCGTATTGCCCATAAGACTCTTTGGGAGCTTTGGAAGGCCTCTCACAACATGACAGCCTTAGTACTTACACATGATGCCCCCTTGTGCAGCCTGCAGTCTGGCTGTCACCTACATGCCCTCGTTTGAAATGTACTTCATCACCTCTGCCTCTTAGAACCCCTGATTTCCTTCCATTTCAACCAAAAGCGTCTTCCTGTGTGAGGCCTTTCCTATGTGATGCCAACTCGTACCCCCTCCCTCCGTAATTCCCTTGGATCTACTTGTTTCTCCTGATGAGTATGAGCTCTTTGAGGCAGCAACTGTTTGGGTTTTGTCTTTCTGTCACCAGGGTCTAGCACAGTGACTAGCACATAGTAAATCAATACCTGCTTGATCTGTTTGTTGATTCAATACTTAAAAACACGGCCTGTATCATTTTTATTTGCACTTAGTATAGGTTTCTTTTAAATGTTTTTTCATGGGCTTTATGTGTAATATTCTTGTACAATTAACTGAACTGTGAGGTCTAGGAAGGAGAAGACTAAGGAGCAAATGTTGACATTGTCTCTATGGAATTAATGCCCCTGGATTGTTGTTGTACCCAAATGTTGTGTTTTTATGGTGTCAATTAAGAGCATTAAGCAAGGTGTGCCTGTGCTCTAAATAAATGATTACATGGATTAACCGTGAGCTTAATCCTACTGTGTTAATAACAGTTTTAAACTATAGTTCCCTAATACTGACATCTCAGGTAAAGTGATGTACAGCTCATTTGATGACCTGTACAATTGTTGGTATAAAACAAAGTCATTTGGGTCACTGAATAATCTGTTCTTCTGCTCTTCTTTTCCTAGTCTACCTGAGCTGCAAGTTTTCAGTTTCTGCTTGGGAATGATGATGTAGTCTTTTAAGAATACTTCTGAAGAGAGAGTTTACAATCTGGGAAAGTGGGGTGAAGTCTGTGATATCTATACAAATAATTAATACAAAATACATTATTATTAATAGATCACATAGGAGAGTGCCAAGCTATGTCCTAAAAGATAATTTTTATCTCTATAACCCTGGTACTTATTATGGTGCCTTGAATACTCTAGTTACTTTAAAAATGTTTGTCGAATTTGAGGAGCAAGAGTTTATTACTTGGTTTAGGGGATGATAATCATGGAAGTATCATGGAAGGGGTGATACCTGAGTTGGGCTTTGAAAAGAAGAGCAGATTTTAGTAACTGGAGATTTTGAGGGTGGAATGAGATGAGGTGGTGTGAACAAAGGTACAGAGGTGAGAGGTAGGGGAGGATTTTTTTGTCTTCATTTGTTTTGTGGGGTTTGGAGGAACCCTAAAGGATAACAGATTACATTAAGTATATAGGAGGAAGATATTGGGGAGGATGACACATGTAGTTAACAACTTTAAAAATAGCGAAATTAGCTGCAAACTTTAAAGACTACATAGTTTTGCATGCTTAGTAAAATGATTATACAAATTGATGGACAAAGGAAGCAAAAATGAGCAGTAAGGCAATGGCAGTGTCCCAGGCCTCGCTTCTCAAGCTAGTGATCTAGTGGGGTAGTTTTTTCCCCCTGAAAAAGAGCTGAGATAACATGGCTAATCATAATGGATTATTTCTATGACTTGAAAATTTTTCCTCTGTCTCCTACTTCAAGGGGTTAAGATGTGACTACCATTTGGTTTTTCCTTCTGCTCAATTCTTGAAAACTTATCTGAGATCTTTTTAGAGGGAAGAAAGGATGGCTTGAATGCTTACTAAGCTTTTCTGACCACTGTTCGCATACTGCGACATACTCTAGCACAGAGGGCACTCTTGATGTAGTTGGGTGACAGCAAAGGGATGAACCCACCCGTTGTCTGGCTCACACTGGCTTTGATGCCCTGGGCACTTACCATCCACATTTTCATGATATATCTGGTTGGAGCCTTTCATGCTTCTACAAGCCAGAAATGGACCAGAAAGCAGAAAATCAGCCCAAAGGGAAAAAATACCCAGCCTCAGCATAACTCCAGTTCCTTTTTCACGCTAGTCTTCCTCTTTGCTTGCTGGAGGCCAGACTGCCACGGTATACTTGTGTGTGCTCGAGGTGTAGCGAGACGTGTTTCTCACAGGGCCTGGCAGTCCTGTGAAGGCTGCCTCCAGCTCCCATC